AGTGTGGTGGCTGGGCAGGGACTGGATGCTGTGTGGAGTAGGTTGTAACTGCGGAGGCCACCACCTGTCAATTCCAAGGAACCAGACACACCGTCCCCAGCAGCCGGCGGCCTCTCCCGGAGCCCCTCGCTTATTTCCTCCTGCACCTACCTCGCCGACCGCCGCAGTACTCCGCCGGCTGGATACCGAGGGAGTTTTGCAAAATAACCCTCACTCTCCGCCAGGAGCTCAGGGCATCTCTCTTCCCACCAGAGCTGAAGGATTACGCGCAGCCCTGCGTGCCTCTCCAAAGCCGGATGCCGAAAATCCTGGTTTGAACCCCAAACTCGTCGGGCCCCCTCCCGCCCCCATTCATAATCCCAGCGGCCGTCTGCCACTACGCACCCTCCCCCTGCCGCCCGCGCCGGCAGCGATTCGCTGTCCCTGGATCGTGTCAGTCACTCGCTCCTCATCAGCCGTGAGCACTGTACGAGAAGCTCCGCAGCCGCGGGTTGCACAAAGGGGAGTGGGGAGGAGGACACTCAGAGCTCGGGGTTCGCGGAGCAGAGGGAGCGAGTGGGGCAAATTCTGTGGGAGGAGCTGGTGTGAAGCGGGGGTCCGCTGCTCTCCTGTTGCACAAAGGAGCTCCAGGGTGCCTAAGCGCCCTGCTCCTGATCCCACGGGCCAGATCACCGCGGTGGAGGTGCTCCAGCAAGACACGCTGGGAGTGGGTCCCACACCTTGGGGATTTGCGTGACCCAGCAACTGGCACCCGGGAGCCGGACTGGCCAGTGTGGAAGAACGCAGCAGGTGGGTGGGGTGCGGGGAGGGGGTACACAGGTTTCCTTTCCCCAAGTTGTTCAGCCCTTTTCAGTCAGAGGAAGAGAAAAAGAGCTGGCAAGGTGACGAGGAGGAAGAGAGAGATGCAGTGACTGCTTCTTGAACTACTACTACAACTATCCAGAGACCAGGAAAACTTGAATGGACAAAACTGTCCTATTTCTCAATTTACTCCAATGCACACTATGGCACACACCATTTTGCACTAAGCACTATATACTGTGCCAGGTGTGGGGGCACCTTCTCTGCTCCCAAGGAGCTCACAGCCTTGTGGGAGACACAATTACATTAGTGGGAGGAATTTTCTCTAGTTGGAGAGGAAATGGGTCAGGGAATTAGATCCCTTCTGAACTTTGTATTAAAGGGTATTTGGAGCTTGCCAAAGAAGTGGCAAAAGCCTACTATTACCCACCCATTACCCCAAACCAGCTTTACCTACACACACTATGAGCATCATACCCGAGAGCTTACCAATTTGGGGACGTAATGGGCTCCTGTCCTGCACTATTTCCCCTTTGTGGTTTTGGAGGAACATTTTCAAACATTAGCCCTTGGAATGTAGAACGCCCAGTTCTCCACAGCTGAGATGCTGCCTTCTTGGACCTGTTGCTTCTTGTACCATCCACCTTATCTATTAGCTTGACATTGAGCCCGAAGCCAAAATTAATAATACGGAGGCAGCGAACATCTGGAAGGAAGCCAATAAATCCTGCAATGCAGTCATGATGCTGACACATGCCCTGTCTGTATAATAATGACAATATAATCTTTTTCCCGAACTGCAGTGAGGATTAATTAGCCAGACTTATTAAATTAAAGAGACCATTGCCCAAATGGAGTGTGGGATGGGAAACTAAATTGTGATTCAATCTAAGAAAGAAAGAAAAAAAAAGAGAGAAAAACAGTTTGAGTGGCATGCTTTCCCTCTCTGAATATTAGAACTTTGAAAGGTATTAATGATTGCTAAAGCACCCAAGGTTATTACAACATCTTCAGAAAAGTATGTCCAAAGAGCTCTTGTTGCAAAAAAAGAATTAAAGATAATGTCACCTACTTAAACATATTTCCCACTTCTCCCTAGAAATTTTATAAACTAGCAAAGAGAATGGAGGAAAATGTCAAATGCCACTTTCAGCTAGTTTATACAGATTTTATGCACAAATTCCAAAGTACTTGTAAAGGTTGCAAAAAGCAGCTCCATTTGGGCAGAAGTCATAGGAAAAAGGCCCAGGGAAGAGAATTAAAGGGAACCAGCAGTAAGGACAAGCAAAAATATGTTTCCTGAAAGTGAGAGGCTTACCATAATTTTTTTCATTAAGGAAAAAATAAATTAAATTTACTTCTTAGTGAGGCAAAATACAAAAGCAGCTATGTCAAAAAAAAATAAGGGGCGGGTGGGCGAGTAGGAGCAGAAAAGGCAAAAGAGGCACACAGAGATGGAGATAAAGGGCACAATTTCCAGGGGACCCAGGAACAGCAGGTCAGGGTAACCATAATCCTTGAAGATGAGGTGTGGAAACCCACTTTCTTGTTTGGAAGAACTGAGGAGCACAGAGCTGCTGGCAGATGGTCTCCTGAACCAGATTTACTTCAGAGACTCAGAGGGAGCGAGTCTATAGAAAAACCATAATTCCTGGAAGCAGCATGTAATCTACTGATGCTTGGCAAGCCACCCAGAACAATGGCTTATGAAGCTACCAATTGCCCCAACTGGTTTGGCTCAGTGGATAGAGCGTTGGCCTGTGGACTGAAGGGTCCTGGGTTCGAATCCAGTCAAGGGCCCATGCCCAGGTCGTGGGCTTGATCCCCAGTAGGGGGAGTGCAGGAGGCAGCAGATCAATGATTTTCTCATCATTGATGTTTCTATCTCTCTCTCTCCCTCTCCCTTCCTCTCTGAAATCAATAAAAAAAATTTAAAAATAAAAAAGAAGCTACCAATTACTTGCCTACAATTCAATGAAGTGAGAAGTTGGGATGGGCCCAACTAGGATGGCTTATCTCTTTTCCAGGTGGTGTCAGCGGGTCTCATTCATATATTTGGGCCTCAGAAAGGATGGCTTGAACACCTGAGGCCTCTTTCCAGAAAGTTAACTCAGGCTTTTTCCTAAGGAGGTAGAAGAATTCCCAGCAGGAAGAGAGAGGGCAGGCCCCAATGTTCATGCTCTTTTCAAACTCCTGTATGTGTCATGTTTGCTAATGCCCCATTGGCTAAAGCAAATCCTACAGCTACGTGGGAGTTGTCAGTTTTGGAGGATCATTAATATAAAATTAATATAGAACACTAAATAAGAGCTTTTTATCGTGAGAATAGGAAAGCTACCTTGAATTCTCTATTTCAGGAACTTTCTACAAAGATTGACTAGAAGAACATGATTTGTTCAGTAGTGAGTCGTGACAAAGAAGAAACTGGCACAAAAAGTATGCAAAGAAACTGTAAGAAAAATTCTGAAAAGGAACATCAATATTTACCAATAGTTGAGGGAGAGGGAAGTTGCCACAAAGGCAATGGAAACTGTGACTAATGTATTTTCTAACAAATACAGAAAGCCTAGAAATAAAACCATGCCTATGGCCAATTGATATTTAACAAAGGCGACAAGAACATAAAATGGGGTCAAGAGAGTCTCTTCAAAAATGGTGTTGGGAATATTGGACAAGTTTATGCAAAAAAACAAATGAAACTAGACCATCAACTCACACCATATGCAAGAATAAACTAAAAATGGATTAAAGACTTTTAGTGAAACCATGAAAATCCTAGAAGAAAACATAGGCAGTAAAATCTCGGACATTTCTTAGCAATATTTTTTTCTCCTATATTTCCTCAGGCAAGGGAAACAAAAGAAAAAATAAACAAATGGGACTACAATACAAGATACAGTTTCTTTAAAGATTTAGAATAGCTGAAACCGGTTTGGTTCAGTGGATAGAGCGTCGGCCTGCAGACTGAAAGGTCCCAGGTTCGATTCCGGTCAAGGGCATGTACCTGGGTTGTGGGCACATCCCTAGTAGGAGATATGCAGGAGGCAGCTGATCAATGTCTCTCTCTCATTGATGTTTCTAACTCTCTATCTCTCTCCCTTCCTCTCTATAAAAAATCAATAAAATATATTTTTTTAAAAAGATTTAGAATAGTTGAAAACAAAAGGAAAATCACCGTTTTACCTAGATAATGTTCCATCCCTTCCCACATACAACAAGTAATAACAATAAACAAGTTTGACCTTGATATCAGACCAATTGGATTTGGAACAAATAAGTATTCTGTGCAACTTTATAACACAAGAAGTAAAACAATGGAGATGTAAAACTTATGAATATTTATGAACTGAATGCATCAGAGCAGCAACTTACATAAGCAGACAGTACAGGAAATAGAAAGACATAGATAGAAGGAGTCCAAAAATAGAAGAATTTTACTCATCTTTCTCAGTCTAACTCTGGATGTAGAAGACTCTGTACCTCAAAAGTAGAAACTACATAGTGTTTTTTTCTAAGGCTAACATTTTCTTCGTGGAAAATGGCCCTGTATTAAGGAATAAAAAAATTTTAATAAAAATCTTTAAAAGAATCATGAATAACATTCTATGATCACAATACAATAAAACTAGAAATTAATCGAAAAATCAGAAGAAAACTTATTCACCTGGAAATTATTTTTAAAAATCTCTCTTAAATAACTCATGTGAATTGTATAATTTCTAGAAAATATTGATAAATTATAATAATGCTTAGACTCCTGTGACTCAGTATTTGCTTAGTTAATTAAGTACCAACTCATAAAGGCCAAAAAACATTATTAAATAAACAGAATGAAAACAGGAAAAAAGAACTAAGTAATATAGAAGAAGAAATTAATAAGCTAGGAAAAGAAAGTAATTAGAATCAATAAATAATTCCAAAAACTGTGATTTTTAGAAATTATAAAATAATTATTAAATTAATTAAGGAAAAATGATATAAATACATAAAATAAGAAATGATACAGTGGTGAAACATAGAAACAGTGAATATTACTATAATCCTAAAAACAAATTTAATCTACTATAGTGTCTCCATCATTTTTTCATTTTGGTCCCCTAACAATTACATTTCATTTCATTTATCCCTAATAAGAAAAAAAAAATTCTAACAAATAAAGATTTTGTCATTAGGATGAAGATTTGGAGGGCCAGAAACAATTGTCATACCAAAAATATATTGATTGCCCCCAATGAGAATGCATGCTCTACTGGAGGAAAATACACTTGAAAACCTAGGTAAAATGAATATTTTTTGTAGAAAATGTGATTTGCCAAAACTGTTCCTAGAGGACATAGGAAGTCCAAAGAGAAGAAATTGTAGAACTTGTCAATTTCCCAACAAATTACCAAGCCAATAATTTTCCTAGGGTAATTTTTAAAGAGTAGGTAATTCTCATGATATCTAAATACTAAAAAGCATAAAAAGAATGAAACTTTCTAATTAAATTGTGTTTTAAGGCAAGTGGCATTGAAGTCAAAACCTAACAAAGTTTGCACATAAAGAAAATCTTTAGAAATTT